GCAGCCTTCATCTGGATCATATTCCATATTCAGTTGTTCAGCATTTTGAAGCTTATCATTGCAATAAAACTGTATCATAGGGAATGGCAATGGTAGTGCTATTTCACGAATACCTTCGGTTGCGTCTCCAAATACTTTTTTACGCTCTTCAAACTCTCCATATAAAAGTTTGTTTAGAGCAGCTCTTGCACGAATTGGATCTGATTTTGAAAAAGACTTGAAACCTTCATCTTCTAATATTTCTTGAAATAATTGAGAAAATGCTTCATTGATGGTTGTTCCTCCCCAGGTGTTACCCATTGGTGGTAGTACTACACTAATTCTCCCATTACTCTTATCATGTACAGTAATATCAACTGTACCTCCTCCTATGTCAACTACCATATATCTCTGTGGAGGGGACCCTGATACTGCTGACTTATGCTGTGCAGCTATAGCAGCTACTTCTGGTTCTAGAGCTAATGATAGCTTCTGAGGATTAACCTCCTCTGGACGTGGTAAAGGGGAACCAACTGGAGTGAACCTTGTTATACCAGGAGCATCAGAAGTGAGACCAGCCTATCATATTAACATAATGAAATACAAAGCATGTATTAGGTTACCATATAAGCAGCTTCTCTCATCATTCTTCTTGCTCTTGCTTTCCATATAGCAGGAACAGTAATGACCCAATCAAAATCACTTGACTTGTAGTGCCTCTTCAGATGATCAGTCAGTAGCTTCTCCTTGAGGTGTGTTAGTGTAAAAGCTATAACTTCAATGAGATAGTAAGAACCACCAGTGAATGAAGAGACTTGGGTAGTACGATCTAATGACTAATGAACATAATATGTATTAGTACTTCTAGGTACTACAGTTGTACTTACATGTACATGTATGTACAGGCTCCTGGTATGTATAATAGTGTATAAACTCACTTTATCTCTCTCTAGTAATTTCTTTATTCTTTCAAAATAAATGAAACTTTTAGCATCTTTTTTTATATCATTGTACAAATTTTGTGCTTTATATCCAACCCCAATTGTTTTCAACACCTGCTCTCCATCATCTTTCATGATTAGTATAGCATTAGGTACTCTTTCATAAGTACTGTGAAGTAGTACCAGTCTGATGACTCCATCATTTGTACAAGTGTATGCTACTGATAGTGATGAGGTCCCAAAGTCAATAGCTGCTATACACTTGCTCTCTTGTAGTACAGGAGTGGCTTTTGGTATCTTCTCAGCTCTTAACAGTGGTGACAATGATCCCTTAGATAAAGCCATGATGAGAGGTATCAGTATATAGAACTTGATAGTTTTTAGTTAAAACATATGGAGTGACTGTTTTAATGGGGTGATACCAGTATCTTGACCTCTTTTGTGACCTCAAATAATAACATTATTCATACTTCACACATTATGGACTATTTTGTTCACTACAGCCACTTATGTAATATTTACTATTTACTTACTCTTTCTTATGATCCTGCATGATGCACTCATTTTTACATGTATGGTATATCTCCTATTTTGTTTTCACCTGAAAATTGAAGCTTTCACAAGAGATGCTGCTTTTTTATTCTGTGCATGCTTCATTTACTAAAAAAATGTTACATATAGAAAAGTGTACTTGGATTGTGTATTTTAACCGTGCAACTTTGTACATGAAGGTATACATGCCCCAAATTTTTATTACATTTTTTGATACATATTGATGTCCTTATGCTGTGTAGAAAGTTTGAGCCAATTCAGAGCCCAATTTTTAAAGTTATGGCTGTTTTTAAAAATGGCCAATTTTTAAAAAAATGCCCATAGCCCATGGTTTTTCCCAAAAAGGCTTCCGAAATCATCTCAAATTTTTATTACATTTTCTAATACATATTTATGTACTTATGCTGTGTAGAAAGTTTGAGGTGATTCCGACTTCAATTTGTCATGTTAGAATCATTTTTAAAATGGCCAAAATACCCAAGGCTATAGCCCATGTTTTTTTCAAATGGCTCCAAAATCATGCCAAATTTTTATTACATTTTTTGATACACATTGATGTCCTTATGCTGTTTACATTATTTGTATTATTCATTATTATTATTATTGTTATTATTATTATTATCCTTAGGTTCATGTACATGTGATCCTGGTTGGACCAGAGAACTGTGTCAAAAATGTAAAAAATATAATTTCAAATTTATTCTCTTCTCCTTCATGATATAGCTTGTCCTAGAAACCGCTATGGATCAGATTGTAGGTCATATTGTTACTGCTATGGACGTGGTCGCTGTCACCCAGTGTATGGTA